CTTCTCTAAGAAAATTCTTGCATTCCTTTCCTCCCAAAGAGTCCACAGAGTGGCTGCCCTAACACATTTCCACATGACCTTACCYCTTCTAGTGTGCCAAACAAAGACAGATGGGTTGAATAACAAGCTTAAATCAGAAGGCATAGACCACCTACCTCCAAATAAACAAAGGCTCCACCTCCATATAACTATAGCAAAGGAACAAGAGATCAACAAATGGAAATAGTCCTCATTCTCGGCCTTACACAAGGAACACCAATTTGGGGAAAGACAAAGCGAGGGTCTCTTTTTCTATAAGTTTTCCAAAGTAGTGATTTTCCCATAGAAGACTTCCCAATAGAATACAACAATTTTTGGGGGAATAGGTTGCGCCCAGACTTCTTTGATAGGGAATCCTTGGGAAATGGAGCTAGAACTGAGGGATTTTAGAAAAGAAAAGCAAGTAAAAGTACCTTTTGGAAGAGCAGTCCAAACCCTTTGATCAGAAAAAGTGGGGTCCAAGCAAACGGATTCTAGTAAATGAATTAGCTCAAATAACACAACTCGAATCACCATCCCTTAACCCTCTACGAAACCCAAAGTCCTAGTTTAAAGATAAGGGGTTTAACGGACTCGGGAGAAAAGTTGCAATTGGCTCATGTTTGTGAAGGGAAAGGGAATAGAGAGAGGGGAAACGATCTTTGAGGGGTTGAGTACCCACCCAAATATCCTCCCAGAACAGAATAGCATTACCAGAACAAGCATCATACCTGATGAACCTGAGGAAGCAAGGTAGAATACCATGTATAGCCTTCCAAGGTGTAGTAAGGGTAGCTCGGCGAGCTATCCCGGAATCCCAACCATTTCCTACACAACCATGAATGTTTTCCACCACCTCATGGCATAATCTCTCTCTCTCTCTCTCTCTCTCTCTCTCTCTCTCTCGGGGCCATCTCCATAGCCACTTGTTCCCATAAAAAGTCCCTTGTTCTCTTCTCCAGTTTCTTAGCCTCCCTTGGAGAAATTTGGGTGCTGCCCCTTATAGTCAATAATTAATAACTAAAAGTATACCTCACACACCTAGAAATGGT